ATTTTTATTAAAATCGTCATGGAAAATAGATTCTCTCAACATTTTAATTGACTAACTTTTTAATTTTTACTAAAAATCATCTTATCAATAATTTACTAATATTTTAACGACATAATAATACTTACTATGTTAATTTTTCTTTATTTATATAAATATCCCTATAATATAGAAATGTTATTTTAAAAAGGTCAAATGATTGCAAAAGCAAAATCTCTGTGGTCTGTGGGCCAGGATTTATATTTTGGTCAGATATTATTTGTATTCATTATTTTGATATATTAATTGAATCTATTAAATATATAATCAATATTTATTTTCGTACGTTTAATATAACTGAAGAAGAAGAAAAATTACTTTGCAATAAGCAGATGACTTTGACACTTTCGAAGAAGTAGATGGTATTACCGTTTTGAGGGGCAATGCAGCAGATATCGACATTTTGTATGTCAGCATAATTTCCGGTTGAGTAGTTGATATGGACACTTTATGATGAGCAACCTTGACTTCCGTAAAAATAGGGTTTGAGATATTAGACGATGTTAATGCGACAATAAATTCACTATTTTGTTCGACAGCTGATTGCTTTATTGTAATGAAAGATTGTATCTTGTGAAAAGCACTCGGTCTGGTAGATAGTTTGGTTGCAGAAGGCGTAGATGATATGAGGGCCTCAGATGTTACGGGCAAATATGAAAATATCGTAACTCGAGATAGAGAAGATGCAGCCAAGATTAGCATATTGGATGGTATAGTCGCAATAATCGACATTTTTAGTTCTGATGAAACAAATGACATGGTAGTCTCGGGTAAAGATAAAGTGGATGATACAAATATAGATGGGTGGTCACCCTGGGGAGGATGATTGTGAACCAAGATGGCGACTGTGACCAAGTTTTTGAAAGTTGTTATCTGTGTTGAAGTGTTCCTCTGATACTGATTGAGAATAAATATAAATTGTTTAAGGGAAAAATATATTATATTCATATTTCAGGTGGTTGTGTTTATACGCATAACTGAAAAAATAACTAATATTCATTAACCAATCAATTTCATTCAATAAAAGATAACATACTCCTCTAGTAAAAAACAAAAATAAATATCGATATAGGTTTAAGGCCATTTTGGTGAAATTACCTAACTTGTGAGATTTGGACGCCGAATGGATGCCAATCTTATCTAGCCTAGGTAGCGTGTCATCGTTAACGTCTCTTTCTGTGATTGGATCGTCTCGCGAGAATTTAGTATCTATAACCCCTAATAAAAAAAATGAAATAACGTAGTTTAAGATATGTTGCTAACTATATAGATTGCTTTCTTTAATAAAAAACATACCTTGGCGTGACATTGAGCCGGATAAGGAATTTTCGTGCTAGTCAATAGTTGATAGCTCGGGAGTGTTGGGTAACAGGATAGTTTCCTTAGAACTAAAGAATTAACGATTGTAATAGTTTATCATTTTAAAATAAATCGTTGCCCCCACCCGATTCGCCTAATATCGTCGCGGGTTTCGAATCCGAATTTGGAAATTTAACGACAACCAATAGAACTGAAGACATTTTAAAGTGGGTGGGTCAGGTTCGGACCCATTTTATAAAATAGATTAGGTTTTTTGCTATAAAAAATATGTCTCCAATCCCGTCATTTACTCTTTACTTCCTTCCCCTCATTTTTTTTGGTACAATCATCTTCCTAACCTAACACTTACTAAAGGAGAAATTGGGCAAAAATATCTCTCTTATTCACCATCGTATTTTGCTTTTCCAGGTCTCTTTTGTATTGCAATTTGGGCATGTCTATCGCGATCAAGATATCCAAGTCCCCTCGTGAGAAGGCGGAAGACTTTGTGCTACGCAAGACACGTTGTGCGGTTCGGAAGAGGGTAAATTATCTATTTCCGTAATGTGATTAGGGATATTTTATATACGCTCTAATGAAGGTAAAACCTAGAGAGTTAAGGGATACAAAAATGTATCTTATCCGTTATGCAGGAGTAATAATGCTTCTTTCTTAACAAGTGATCCAAAGTTTCCTAAGTTATTTATCCTCGAATTTTGAGATGTTGAATGCGCTGAAAACTATTATATGATAAAATATGACGAAATCCCATTTATTTTTTCTAAATAATTTATATAAAAATTTGTATTTATAACGATAGCCTCCAAATGATTCGTAGTATCTTCGTAAGCGTAATCCATTTGACAGCACTTGAAACTGCAAAAGCTTTGCAGGCATCCTGTTCTAGGATTGATAACTTTTCTTCGCCGGCTCCCCTTCCTTTGACACTTCATATCCGAAGACGATTTAACTTAACGAAATTAACATATTTTTACATCAGAATGTATATAATTCATTAGATGTAGACGCGGCGCGGCCCGAAACCGTGAAAATAGAATATATTGTAAAATCCTGGTTTGCTACTTAAAGAATTTTGCGGATTTTCCGACCAGCCCTATTTTTCTTCTGGGGACCCGAGCGGCGACTTCCAATTATCGAGTCAACAACAACAAAAAATAGGTCGAACAATATGTATACACGTCACGTACCGTTTTTATTAGTTTCTTCCCCATTCCCACTTCTCGATTCTTCCTTCTGTGATCCGCCTCTTCTTGGACATCATCATCATCGTCGTCGTCATCTAAAGGGGGCGGCCAGTCTTATATGGCCACTAAGTTAGCGTGCCGACCAGATTCGTCCTTGACCCATAAACTACGTTTGGGTGGATCTTAAAATTATATTTCATTTTTATAAAAATAAATAAGAACTAACTTATCGAACCATATTATAGTGCATTAGTATAGACTTCGTATTTCAATCTTCAACCTTTGAAATTGAATAAGATTCTTATCATATTGAGACAATTTGATTTAGAAAATAAAGAGAGACCCAATGAATTCATTTTAAACATGATTTTTTTTTTATTCTCCTCAATATATTCAAACAAATGACGTTTTTTATTTAGTTAAACTGCAAATGCCTACGAAGTAAACAATTTGATATATACTCTATTAATTGAAATGAAATTTATTTTCATATGTATAAATGTTATGAAGGTAGTTTTTTTAAGTTAAATTTAGTGTTGTTAATAATTCAATATCAATATTGCTTAAGCGACGAGATTTGGCCATTAGATGTTCTTTCTATGAGCAAATTCTTTAGGCTTGCACAATATTTTTCTGGACAAAATATTGAGTTAGCCGTTTTGAATAATCGGCTCAAATTGAGTCGTTTAACATCACTAGTTAAATTTGTGAAGTCATTCATTTTTAATTATGAAGATCTTCTTTTTTTTTTGATTATTTTGCGCAATCATTCTTTTAATATATTGCTATTATTATTTAAAATAGGATTTGTATAAAAATTGTTATTTTTAAATTTTAAATTATATTATTAATCAATTTATATTCATTTTTGTAGTAGATATAAAATTTGAAGAAAAAAAAAAAATTAAATCGAAAGAAGTTTTTTCTTCGATAAGGCCTGCCATAGCAATCCAGCCAACTACAAAAGCTTCAATGGTGGTCTACTAGCCAAAATGCTAACCTAGACCCTTTCTACCAGAAATCTGCAAAGTTATGGCCAAGCCCGTGCCAAAGGTCGGACCTTGAAATTTTTTTTAAATATATCTAAATTTATCAATTTTATATTGAATTTTTTATGTAAAATAAAAATATTTGAATATTTATTGACACTTTGACTAATTATAACAATTAATTTCTAGATTTTAATAAATTCGGGCCGGGTCGGTAAATTTTTTTAAAAAATAATATCGAGTTCAGGCCGGGCCGGTAAAACTTTTCTAAAAAATTATATTTTTATTAAATTATCTTTTTAAATTAAAAATTTTATAAAGAACATAAATAAAAAATTATATTATAATATATATATTCAATAATAAAAAAATAAGACGCCATCTTGCGGCTTTAATCTTATTGAAATTTAAAATTGTAATTAAATTTTTGACAACTTTATCAATAATTTCCAAAAACACAATTTTTTAATATGATTATATTAAATATCAACTCTGAAATTTTTTAATTATAAATTTATAGAAGAATTTTAATTCTATGAAATATTATGGTAACCTATTTTTCAATAGAAAGAAATGACCCGCTAAAATCATAAGAAATTTATAGCGCTTTAAAATAAGATCTTATAGTGATGTGTTCACAGAATTTGCTAATTAATTGAAATATAATTTTTAAAAAAATAATAATAAAAAGTGACAAATTTTAAATCAACAAAAAATCTATAATTAAAAAAAGAAAGTTTTTTTTTATTTCGAGGGAACTAGGTTAATTTTTGTAGAAATAATACTAATAAAATGATATATGTAAATTAGTTTTATCAATATAATAGTTATCATCATTACCAAAATGAAATGTAAAAACAAACTCACATTACCGTTTTAAAATTTTGGCCTAATAACTTGAATTCAACTGAACCATGTTATAAATTGGTTCAACATGTGTTCTTATTGACATGTAAAATAGAAAATATTAGCTTAAACTTTAATTTTTTAAAAATATTATTATGATAGTGCGCAGTGGCGTAGACAAGGGGGGGGGGGGGGGGGTTTGGGGTCGAAACCCCCCCCCCCATAGAATAAAATTTTTTTTTTTTTTTTTTTTTATAAAATAAAAAATTATTATTTTTTTATTGCGAATAATTATATTTAAAAAACGGTTTCAATTTAGAGAAATAAGATAATATATTATATATAATACAATATGAATATGAATATCACAATGAAATATATTTATAAAAAAAGGAGTTTTAATTTTAAATGATCACATCGTTTAAAAATATATATAAATTATATGAACTAAAATATTAAATAACAATAAAAGAATAAAGATATATTGTATGTAAATAATTTCTGGCATAGTTAAATTTATTAAATAACAATAAAGATATTTTGTAAATATTTTCTGGCTTGGCATAGTTAAATTAGATATTTATAAATTTAATTATTAAATATATATTTTTAAACTATATAGATAGTTTGTAAATTTTAATTTTTTATAATTTTTAAATATGGATATCTGTAAGTTTTTTCGTCAACAACAAAAAGAAAAAGGTATATAAAAATTTAAGTTGTGTAATTTGAATTAGAAATATATATAGATATAGATGTTGCTCTTGCTAGTAAAAATCAGCCATCAGTTGAGTTGGTTTTCGTTGTATCCTCAGATGACGAAGGTAATGGTATTATTTATAATATCTTTTATTTAAATCTTGCAATTAGAAAGACCAGACATACCATTACCACTCCATGGGAAAACCAATGATGAGTTAGCTACAAAATCATCTGGAAAATCATCAAATGATGGTATAGTATTTATTTTAATTCCATTTTTTTTATTTGTAAATTATACTATTTTCATTTTGAGTTATTAAAATTTTGCAATGCACGATATTTAGTTATAATTTTAAAGTTAGTCATTTTTTTGTGTTATATTGCAAAAGGTAGTACATTATAAGTCAAACAGAGTTAAGCAGTATTGAAAACTTGTATCTACAATACAAACAGAGTTGGGCAGGCCCTCCAGAAAAATAATCTAGATACAGATTTGTTATGAAAAAATGAATCTTAGATACAGATGATTTATCATTACCAATTAAACTAGAATAGTTTATAAAATACAGTTTTTATTATTTATTTGTGAAGAACATAATTATTTTCTTAAAATCTTTTGTATATACAATCTTGGGCAGCTTATAATATTTAGGAACTTATTTTCATAATTTAAATATTACTACCTTCTTCACTTCCATGAGTGTAAATCATCCTACAAATATAAAAATATTAATTAAAACTGGTAATGATATTCTATAGTAATTTCCTTCTACTGTCTTTAAATTTTTATTAAGAAACTTTGATATCTATCTGAGATACATTTTTTATAATCCAGATTTTTTTCTTGTGCTGCTCAGCTCTTAACATTGAAATTCATATTGAAATATATCATTTAAAATCTAAAAAAAATATAGAAACACCACACCGTTCTCAAAAAGATGTTTCACTTTACTTAAATTTTCATTTTAAAAATGATAATGAAAAATTGTTAGCTGTTGAAAATATTTGGATACCTGACAAATGTTATAAATTTCCATTGCCCTTGGGCAAAAGAAATTTAACCTTTCAAGCATCCTGGCTTAACAAATATAAGTGGCTTGCTTACTCAGCCGATGAAAAGGGCGCATTTTGTAAAGTTTGCGTCATATTTTCCCCAAGATATGCTGGAAATGGGTTACAAAAACTCAAAACATTGGTAAGTCAAGTGTACACAAGATGGAAAGATGCGCTCGAAAATTTTAATTATCATCAAAAAAATAAATATCATCTTAATTCCTGTGAGATAATGGATTCTTTAAAAGAAATCTCAATGAATCAAAAGATATCAATATCCAATGTATTGAATAAAAAAAATTTTGATATTGTTACAAAATCGATCAAGAATAATTATAATTATTGATGCTATCATTTGGTTAGGGAGGCAGGGCTTGGCGTTAAGAGCTCATAGGATATCTCCTGGCCCCCTAACACTTACATCCCCTTCTCACAATGAAGGAAATTTCAAGGAATTATTGAAATTTTTATGTAATAATAATGACAACTACCTAAAGCTTTTTGAAAGCTCCTCTAAAAATGCTACTTACCTAAGTCTCACTATTCAAAATGAAATAATATCAATATGCAATCAGTTTATATTAAAGGAAGTTTCTTCAAAAGTCAAAGCATCACCATTTTTTAGTGTTTTGGCGGATGAAACTTCCGATATTGGTAATATTGAACAACTATCCATAGCAATAAGGTTTATTGATATGGAATCAGTTAATTATAAAATGAAGGAACTATTTGTTCAATTTATTGAATTACCTGACACTAAGTCAGAAACGATTGCTAATCAAATTATTAAATCACTTCAAAACCTGGATTTAAATTTAAATCTACTGAGAGGCCAAGGGTACGATGGAACTCCCTCGATGAGTGGTCATGTTAAAGGGGTCCAGTCAAGAATTAGAGAGCTTTATAGCACAGCTCTTTATGTTCACTGCAGTTCACATTGCCTGAATTTGATGATAACTGAGGCATGTGAAATTAGAGACATCCGGAACAGTTTACGTAAAAAGATTTTGATTTAATTGAAATTTATTAGATTTTATTATGTATTATAGATATCTTTATATAATTTTTATATATTTTTCAAAATTTAGAAACAATATCGTCGGTTTGTGACTTCTTTACCCCACCCAAGAAGAGGGAGATTTTTACCCAAACGTTCGATGAAATTGATTCAAAAAATTCAAAAAAAAAATTAAAAAGATTTTGTCCCACAAGATTCATTGAAAGACAACAATCGGTGAAGGTTTTCATCGAGTTATATGAGGTTATTTTTGCGGCACTGGAAAATACATATTACGCAAAGAAAAAGATTCCGCAGATGCGGAAAATCTTTTACAGGCTATTACGAAGCATCAATTTTTAATTTCAATTCAATGTGTTTATTTTTTAATTAATTATACATATGATTTTAGCAAAATGTTACAAAAAATTGATTTGGATTTAAGGGAGGTTATGAATAGGGCAAAGGATATTGTTGAAATATTAACAAATATCAGAGATATTGTGGATGAAAAATTTCACGAAATATATGAGAAAGTAAAGGAGATCGCTAATATGTTTGGGATTGAAATTTTTAAACCTAGAGTAGTTTCTAGACAATCCAATCGCTCAAATATTGATGCATCTACGATTGAGGATTTTTATAAAATTAACATTTTTATTCCACTTATTGATACATTTTTATTTCAATTAAAGGAAAGATTTATAAGTCACAATTTTATTTTAAAAAGCTTTTATTTTCTTTTGCCGGTTGAGTCTGAATTGTTGATTACACTTGAAACGCGAGAGGATATTAAGAACATCTCAGAGTTTTATTCTGATGATTTATTAGGGTCGTATGATAAGTTACTTTGTGATGTCGAATTTTGGTATAAAAATCTTGGCAGAATAGAGTACTCTTTGAGACCAAAAAATGCTTTGCAGGCCCTTTCCATGTGTAATTGCACTTTAGATTCCCTGCCCAATATCAAAACATTGTTTTTTATTTTAGCTACTTTACCGATTAGTACCTGCACTAATGAAAGGCCTTTTTCAACTTTGAAAAGGTTAAAAACCTATTTAAGAAATAGCACCGGTGAAAACCGTTTAAATGGATTAGCCCTATTAAATATTTATAAGGAGATTATTCTAGATAAAAATTTGATTCTAGATGAATTAGCCAAATCTCAGAGAAAAGTAGACCTCTCTTTATAAATTCAAATCATATAATTGTAATATTTTCTTAGTCATAAAATTTTTATATGTAAAACTTAATTATAATGAATTTTTAGTCATGATATTTTTATACTATATTTATTAATAGTATTGCACCTACAATAAGAATTATTTATATAATATACTCATTTGTATTAAATATAACTGTTAAATTATATTTTTTTAAATTGCATACAAGAATTACTTATATTTTATTGTAATTTTATTTTTTTAAAATATAGATATTTACAATCAATTTTTAAAATAGTAATCTGTATAAAATTTCTAATTTTGAAATTTATTTTTTGTATATAAAATAAACACATAGTTAAATAAAGGGTTTATACTAAATAAAATTGTTAAATTGTATTTTTTTAGCAAGAATTACAGTTAAATAAATAAAGTTAATAATAAATAAAATCTCTGCAAAATATTGTTATATGCAAAAATTTAATTAAAATAATTATTTTTAACATAGAATAAGATATATTGAGTTGATCATAAAATTGGAAGGTTTGGGGGGAGGCAAATTTTTTTTACATCGAATAGATTGAATTAATATACAATTTACTAAACATTGATAACATTTTCAAAATAATGCTTTCAGTCGCTTATTAATTATAAATTTGGCAAAAATTTTAATTCTAATATTTTTTAATATTTATGCTGGCCTGGGTATAATACACAAAATATTGGCAAATTTTGATAAGGGGGTTTGGGGGCGAAGCCCCCAAAACTTTTTTCAAACCCCCCCCCCCCCCCCCATGGATCAATCCTGGCTACGCCACTGATAGTGCGTGTAGCGCTAATAATATAAGCTGAATGCAATTTATTTTTATACTTATTGTTTATTTGTTTAAAAAGTATGTGTATTGTTATTTTTATGACAATAATATATTCTCGTTTGAAAATACATACTATGTTTATTCTAGTAGTATTTCAAAATTTATAGAATATTAACTGTAATATTATTTATTCAAATTTGTTTAAATTAATATTAATATGAACGAATCGTACAAGTACTAAGTATAATTAATAAATATTAAGCGAATAAAAAACACGGTTCGTAAAATTGCACTAGTAATCTTTTTATTTTCCCAAAAATTTAGGAGTGAACACAACTATCAAATCGATTGAAACAATATATGCAACTGTTCCAGTGAATAAGCTCAAAGATTATATAAAAAATTGTGAGGTGTGCTCATTGAAGACGACGTTGCCGAAGGCCCCAACTGGTAAAGCTATAAAGTCAACGGCAGTATGGGGTCGATTTGTAATGGATCTTATTGATTTTAGAAGCACTCCTGATGGAGAATTAAATACATAATTCACTTTAAAGACCATTTTTCTAAATTTACATACGCAAAGCCTCTTATATCAAAACAAGTGGAACAAACATTGAGGGTTATACGAAATTTGTTTTTTACTTTCGGTCCTCCAAAAATTTTACAAAGTGATAATGGACGAGAATTTAAAAGTAAATAAAATTATTGATTTGTCTAAAAAAATATTTGTAGATAAAATGGTTGAATCTATGTTAAAGGATGATTTTCCAGGGGTAATATTCGCACATTCGCGACCACGCCACCCAGAAACCAATGGTTTAATTGAGCGAGCAAATGGAACTTTAGAGTCTTGAATAAGCGGTTACATGTTGGAAACAAAAAAATATGATTGGGCGACTGCGCTCCCTAAAATTGTATTTAATATCAATCTAGGATTTTCTAGAACAATTAAAAATACCCCATTTAATGTATTTTTCACTAGAACACCTTATTCGGTAGCGAACCGGAAGTGATACCAGGAATAGTTAATGTGGATTCTGATCATGAAGAAATGAGTAAAAATCTATAATATTTAAGAGGGCTCAATATAAAAAATAATATATCGAAATTTATTTAAAAAAAATTAAAATTCTTAAGGGCTATATAATTTTTAAAAATTTAAATCTCCGCATCGCCACCAGCCTCCAAATAAAAAATAATTATTTTATATTTAAAAATATTTACCCCCTAATTCTATAAAGGTTTGGTTCATACTCTTCCGAGGTTAACATCAAGAGAAAACCCATTAGAATATCCTGATCAAATCAGTAATAATAAAATATGTTAGAATTAAATATATTATTGTAACTTAAATTTTTTAAAGGTTTAATTTAAAATTTATTAAAAAAATTAATAATTTTTAGAAAATTTAAACCTCTGCATCGCCATCAGCCTCCTAATAAAAAATCATTATATATTTAAATATATTTACCCCCTAATTTTATAAAGGTTTGGTTCATACGCTTCCGACATCAAGCGAAAACTCATTGATAGAATATGATCCTGATGAAATCAGTAATAATAAAATATGCTAGAATTAATATATAAATTGTTCCTAAATTTTTTAAAGATTTAATTCAAAATTATCGAAATTAATAAAAAAAAATTATAATTTTCAGAATATTTAAACTTCTGCATCGCCACCAGCCGCCAAATAAAAAATCATTCTATTTAAATATATTTACCCCCTAATTCTGTAAAGGTTTGGTTCATACTCTTCCGAGGTTAACATCAAGAGAAAACTCATTAGAATATCCTGATGAAATCAGTAGTAATAAAATATGTTAGATTTAAATATATTATTGTAACTCTTAAATTTTTTAAAGGTTTAATTCAAAATTTATAAAAAAAATTAATAATTTTCAGATAATTTAAACCTCTGCATCGCCACCAGCCTCCAAATAAAAAATCATTATATTTAAATATATTTACCCCTTAATTCAATAAAGGTTTAGTTCATACTCTTCCGAGGTTATAATCAAGCGAAAACTCATTGATAGAATATGATCCTGATGAAATCAGTAATAATAAAATATGTCAGAATTAATATATAATAGTAACTCCTAAAATTTTTTAAAGGTTTAATTCAAAATGTTACACCAAGCTCACCGTTAAATGATAACTTATTGATCGATTCTAATCCCGATGAAATGAGTAAAAAATGAATGATAATAAATATTGTAAACTTAAAATTAAAAGGTTTAATTTAAAATTCTATTTGAAGTTCATCGTATAATGTCAATGGATTGATAAATTATTCTTTTATCTGATGAATATAATAAATTTAATGAATATTTTACTAACTCTAGCCTACTAATTTAACTCTTCATTT